GGGGGGGGGGGGGGGGGGAGAGGGAGAGATATGGGAGGCGAGGGATCCGTCCTATTAATCTCGGGACGCATTTCAACATTTCATCTACCGCGTTAATTTACGGAACTCGCTATCGCCGGCGTCTAAGCGTCTATCTCACGAGTATCTCACGTAGTCGTCGTCGTCGTCGATTTGGTCGCGAAATCGTTGATAAATAAAACGTCAGATCGCGGCCGCCCGGTTTTTCTCACGTAGTTTTCTCGCGCTTGTGCGCCGACGATATCGTAAACCGTTACCGCACCTCCGCAGTGCGCTTCCTTATCGCGTTATCGCGCCACGAACTACCGAGGATCGCGTAACTTGAGCTCGATACATTTCGCTCTAAACTCGTCGGAGGACGGTATAACTTGGTGGAAACGGCATTGTATGCTGTAAACGTTTGACTCGCGACGTGATCTTTACGACCTCTAGAAATTCATTTCATTTTATACATTGTGTACGTTATCGTGCTTACTCTATATATTCTATAAGAATTTAAGAAACTGTTGACTAATGTCACTCATCGTATCATATTTCATGTTTTTTTTTTTTTTCCAAGACATTTCTTTTGTGGAAGCAGCGCAAGATTCACGTGTTTATTTATATTTCGTTAAAATATAAATATATATTTAATATAATTCCGTTTCTCTCTCAGTTCAATATCTCGATCGAGAAACGCAGTCGTCAGAGAGTGTAGCAAATTTTCCTAGAATATAAAACTCTTTTTCGCGAGATAAATCTTGTCGTAGATAAAGGGATCTGAATTTTTCTATTGTTTTTGAAACAGTCGCGTCTACGGCCGCATCTTTCCTTCATCTCGTTCACAGATCTATTCGAGAGCCGGTTTGCATAAACGCGCGAACACGAGGCTACCGCGACGCGTGACATCCGGAAAACGAGAGAGAGAGAGACGGATAATCCCTCCCTTATATCCGTGCTTATTCCGGGAAAGAATGAAGGAATCACTTACGGATTACGCTCGTGACAGTTCCAACGGGATTGATCAGCAGAGGCCCCTGGACAAGATCCTCCTCAAGATGGGCACGGCTCGGTCGGGCCTGCTTTCTCCGTGACATCCCTTCGATGCGATTGAATCAGTTCGCTCTCCTCGCACTTGGACGAAGAAGAAGAAGAAGCAATCGCCGTCGGTCGGGATCGCGTCGATCGCGAGCGATCGGCCCTCGTGGATCCACGTCCTCCTCTTTTCCCTCGGGAAAGTGACAGAAAGTAAAGAGGACAAAAACACGGTCAGTCCAGACGTCGTCGACGATACAACGGCGGTTGACGACGTCGCTGCAATGTCGAGAATATCGCGGCGCCCTGCATGTCTCTTTCTTTCTTTCCCTCCTTCTCTCTCTCTCTCTCTCTTTCTTAGTCCGAAGCCGAAAAAACGCAACGACCGCTGTCCGCGTTCTTCATCGGCGCTAACTATCTAGAGGAGCCGCACCCTCCCCGCGCGAAGCGCTTCTCGCGCTTCCCCAAGCGTTCCATACGTGGATCGTCGCCAAAGGTGCGTTACTCTCGCCCGCCGGCCGGTGAGCGTGTCAACTCGGCCAGTAATCCATAGAGACTCGCTCCGGTATCCTAACCCATCCCCCACCCGCGACAGCGCGATCTCTTTACCTATGAAATGGTCCGAGATAGAAGCCGTCGTTTCCCGCGCACTAACGGAGAGAGATACCAACTTTTTCCGTCACTTGGAGACTCGTCGACGCTTCCTTTCGATGCGACTCGCACGTGGTCCACGAGTATCTCTCTTCTCTCTCTCTCTCTCCCTCTCTCTTTCTCCTTATCTATGTTTCCACTTGAAAAGTCGTAGACGTTCCGAAACGAGCGTCGTTGTCACAGTTTGATAGAAATCAATGTTGTTGTCTCGCGTCTGTGCTTTGTCACAGCTCGGACGAAACGAGTGTCGCTGTCCTTTTTATCACAATTCTCTCGCGCACAAATCGCGATCGTTCACCACTGCACACCCCCGGTACTCGCGACGCTTATTTCGATTACCGCTCGACAATGTCGGTTCGTTTGACGACTCGCGACAGTATGGCGGCGAGAGAGACCGGTGGCATTCGCGGCTGCCCTCACGTCGCGACGTAGGTAAGTACACCGGTGTATGCGTACAACTTCAGTCTACTGCGATTTACACGTAATATGACGGCGTGACGGTGTCTGTCTGTCATGCACTGTTTGCCCGTATACAATATACACGTGTGCGCCGTGTGTGTGTGCGTGTTTATGTACATGTGTGTGTGTGTGTGTGTGTGTGTGCGTGTATGTGTGTGGGGATGTGCGATGGACGCGTGAATGTATGCGTGTTACGTATACGGTGCGTGTATTATGTGTATGTACGTGTGTGCGTGCGCGCGCGCGAGCGCGAACGTGTGTACACGCGTGCGTGTTTATGGGTCTATATCTCGCGCGAAATCCGCAGCTCTGCGATACCTCGAGTCGGCCGGACGGCGGACGGACCAGCTCTGGGCCTGACGTCCAGACGCCCCTCTCCACCGTCTGCGAGACGCGTCCGACGTGGTAGGAGAAGAGATACCTCCCTGCGCGCGCTTCCGCCCCCACCCGATCGCGCGCTCCGCGACCGACTGCGACCGACGCGACGCCGCGCGCTCTGTCCTCCCCTCCTCTACTCTCTCTCTCTCTCTCTCCCTTCCCTCCTCTCCTCCCTCCACCACCAAACGCGGCCGCTCTCCCCAGCCTTCCCCCCTCCTTTCCACCAGCAGCGCTTGCGCCCCCACTCTCTCCGCGCGCAACCTCCTTCGCGATGCGTTCCCTTCTCCGTTCGTGCGCCACCGTCACCGTCGCTGCCGCGCGCGGACACGAAGAGATCCACCCTTGTAAACGAACGGCACAAGTCAAGGATCTCCACGCGTTATATTGTCGGTCGCGCGTCGCACGCATGCACTTTTCCGCGTGCATTCTTTCGAAAAATGGACGACCCGGTCACCCGCTGTTACTTTTACGAGCGTGTCCTGGGCCTCGATTATCGACGGCTTATACCTAAATGAGTAGAGAAAGTTAGAGAAAGGTAAGATATGATTTTTCTCTCTGTCTTTTCTCTCTTTCTTTCTTTGTCACACGCTTTAGGACCTTCGCCTCGTCGTTCTCGGCGATTGTGATCGCAACGACGATATGACGCGAGAACGTCGTAAGAGATCGATTCAAAAAAGGAAAAAAAAAAAAGAAAAGAAACGCGTTCCGCGAAGCGTGATCGAATGAGCCTCGAAAGGGGCGCGAGAGAGGAATCCTTTCGCGTCGCTCCTCCGTCGTTCGCTTCCCCTCTTGCTTCGTGTCTCGCGCTCCTCTCATTCTCCTATCTGCCCGCGCGCGCGATCCGTCTTTCTCTCTGTCTTATTCCCCCTTCCGGCGGATGCTGGATATCCCCGCCACCTAGCGGCGCGGGAATGCGAGGCGTGGCCTGTCCCGGAGAAGCGGCCGCCTCCTTATGCATTATTATATAGCGAGAGCCACTCGTGTCTCTATGATTTTATATGCCGCGCGTTTCAGCGTGAATATTCTAGCGCGCTTCTCCACGCCGCTCTCTCTCTCTCTCTCTCTCCCTCCCTCTTTCTCTCTCTCTCTCCCTCTCCCGTTCCGCCGCACCGCACCGCATCGCATCGCATCCCGTCCGATGCGCCGACGATATCGTGTTTTATATGCTGCCCAATTATTTTCTCGTTCCACCGTCGCGCTCGATCTGGCCGTCGTCGATTCTGGCAATTGTATGCGAGACAACACGGTCGAAAAGATCGTAACGGGTGCGTTGACATTTTTCTTCGCGGACGACGTCCGCGAAGACCGCTCTCGTCGCGATCGAGATTTCCCGAGTACACTCTCTCGCCAACAAGTATTTAGCTCCTACACTCGCGTATATTTAACCGATTACTACGTAATTACTGATTACGCGCGTTGTACGTTTGAACTAGGAGATGCTCTCTGGTGATTGCAGGTTTTAAAGTGCCCGTTCTATTCAATTTCAACGAGCGAAATGTCCTCGATTGGTTACGCGCTCGCGTAGCACGTTTAACCGTGTAAAAAGAGTCGACGCCTGATCATTCGATCAGATCGTGGTATCGAGACGTGTTATTTATAATCTAATTAAAATATAAACTGGATTTTTTTTATCATATAAAAAACTTGCACATACATGAAGATAATTTTTCATTTGTGTTTCGAGATACTACCATGAGGTAGTATCTTCGATATCAATCGAACAAGATTGTAAACTTGTCATCGCCAGTATTTAAAAATCGTCGACAATAATATTATATAACGCAAATAAATAAGACACACTTAAAAACAACACAAGAAGCATGTATTTTACTTTATAAATGCATCGTTGAATATAATCGCGCGAAACGCGTATCGTTTTACGTTCTTCGATATACTCGATCATATCTTGTCATATCACGTCGCGGTAGAAACGCGAGAGAACAGGTGGATCGACAGGATGATTCAAAGAAGGGGGGAAGACGAAGGGGGTGGACTAGCAGCGAAGGCTTGCGGTAAAGCGGCAAGTGGAAAAGCGAACGAGGTGTGGGGGGAGGAGGGGAGAAGATAAGGGGTAAGGCGAGAAGATCAAGACCGTGGATGGGGTGTATGGAGCGCGGCAACGGTTGGGTACCTCACGGAATCTCGCGTATGAATAAAGTGCCGACTATGGTTCAGGTGTTTCTGGCACCGAGCTCCTCCATTGTGCTCGGATACACAGCCATAAGCTGGCAGCGGAGCGTGGGATCTTTCTCGAATGGGAAATTTTAATTATTGCTAATTTCATCCAATTTTCCTCGACGAGACTCTATTCTTGTCGCGTCGTCAGTCATCGTGCCTTGAACGTCTACGTTGAATAATAAATAATTGAGATATATAGACACTGCTTAAAATATATATTTTTGCGATCATTTTAATACATTAAAGTAAGAGAGAATCCTGATCCGTGCAATTTTTTTTTTTTATAATAATTGAGAGATAACGTTTAAGGAATTAAGAAATGTAGCACGATAATTTATTACAAAATAAACGATAAAAGCGTAGTAATTAATTACTAATTCAGGATATTCATGTGCTGCTCTTATATTTTTTAATGGTTTTACTTTATTGTTGTTTCTTTATATTTATGCAGTATTTATGAAGCATCGACGTTTCACGTTTCCCTTACTCCGTGTGTATATGTATAAAATCCGTTTATCTTTTTTTATTGATAAAAAGTACACCGGAGCCAATTCCATTTACTGCAACTTAACGCGCGCGTCTCTCAACCAGATGCAGTGTCAGTCCGTTCTATGAGCGGAATTTCACTCGCGGTTCACACAAGTGCTTGTGAATCTACTTTGTGATTTTATCATCACTTAATCGAACAAACATTACAGTGACTCTCCAGTTTTTGCGATATGTTATATTTCTGTAAATTGAAAAATATTGCGAAAATAAAATGAACATGACACTAGCGAAAACAAAAGCGCTTTGTAAAAGAGGATGTTTTTATGAAAATAATAATCTCTCTCTCTCTCTCTCTCGATAAAAGAAAAATGTAAAAATTATTATGGATTAAATAACATTGCACATGTGTAGGTAATATAAATATCGTGTATAAAATAAATAAATATTCGCGCTTTTTTTATAAATCTACATCTTTTTAATTGTCATTCTTAAAGATCAATTGAACGTAAAATCGCAAATTACATTATCATTGTACGTTATTATATTTTATCTGCGCATAAAATGCTACCGCTTCGAAAAATTGTAATCGTATATAACCGCAGCTTCCCTCTCGAGGGCCCGTTAAACTAAAAAGCGCATTTTTCTCCCTGTGTTTCGAACAGGTTTATTGTTCTCCCCGACTCATAATTTTTGCGTAAAGATCTTTGGGGGCTATAATGTGTGTGCGGGTAGGGCTCGAGAAAAGGGTGGTCGGTTGTGTCCGTTGTGTGAACAAGCGCCGGCGCCAGGACTGACACCTGCAGTGGCGCATCTTTCCTCCTAGGATTAGTGGAGATACCTGCCCTCCTCTTTTGCGCGTCTTTCACAAACACCCGGGACCCGTGTGTGTTCTCATAAACATCCGCGCCTGTTCAATATTCGCTGCTCGACACAATGCCGCGTACAATGGATTATAATAAAGGTTTGTTAACTATGCTAAAGAAGAGGATACACTTGATACTTCCTCCGCGTCACAGCTAGATAAACTTCCGAGTAGCTCGTATAAATCATTTCATTAGTCGCGCGAGCCTATAAGTGATATGCATACGAATTTAATTATGCTCCCAGAGGAATATATACGATTTCTGTTGAATTAACGATAAAAGTATGCATATTTTTAACTCATGCTTTTTTTATTATTTCATCAAGTAGAAATTAAGTGATCTTTTTCGAACTTTTTTTTTTTTCATCCATGTAACGTATAAAATGTTTTCAATTTTCATTAAACAGTTAATGAACGGAATTATACATAAAAGGAATTGGACGTATTTTGTTATGATATTATGGCTCGACCACGTTAACGGCTTTGTTTCTCGCGAGCAATCGTGTACCTGTCATAAGTACGCTTTCCGACACCTGCATCTCATTCTACATCGATAGATTGCGTCGAGCATTCTGGACCGAATTGAATCCCGACGAGAGATCGCGGCATTAAAAGACCGCAGAAAATCCGCCGCAGCAGGTGGCGATCCTTCTCTCTCCCTCTTTTTCCCTGTACGTGGGACATAAAGGCCATTCGGGGCGGAAGAAGGGAAGGGAGGATCAGCAAATTGACGCCGTTTAGATTGCGCTACATTCAATTAAAGCTGCGGAGAGGCGCGGCCGGATAAAAACTCGCGTATACTCTCTCGCGGACGTTCTTTTATCATTCGGCGCGTTTCATGTAGATTTGTTCATTCTCCGGCGACGTGCCGTCCGCCGGTGGACCGTTTCCAAAGGAGCAGCGGCGCGAGCGCGAGGTTTCCGTCTCTTAATTTCGATGGAAATGAAGCGATTCCGCCGATCTCGCGCGCGGTAACAAAATCACCGGACCGTTTTAATCTGCGCGGTGTACCACGCTTCTTATACTAGCATCGCTGCATTAACGTTTTCGCCTCTAACTGTTTAGATATGCATTATACGTTCAGTGTTTTTATGTAGTTTTTTCCACTTCTCCTTTCCTCCCCAATCTTTCCAATCTCATCATCGTGAATGAGCAATTTATTATTTCTCTCAAATATTTTTCGATTCATCAAATAAATATGCCTTTTCTAGCGTGAATAGCGTGTGAGAGAAATTTTCCTTAATAAAAGTCAATGTTATTAAAAAAAAGATTATTTTTTAAATATAACGGGAAAGAGGGACAAAGTAGTGGTCACTTTGAATTTTTAGAGTCAAAATTAAAGTGTATGTGTATAGGTAGATATAAAAAATTTAATTTCCTCGAAACAGGATGCTAATCGACGATTTGAAATTTCTCATGAAAATTCGGAACGACTTATACTTGAGTCTGGAAGCAGAATCGAGTCCCTTGAAATACTCGAGATCTCGGCGGTGTCGGTGTCCGGTCCGTTGGTAGAAAGTAAACGGAAGAGATGGA